TGATGTGCTCATGCACACGGGTAAGATACTCAAAACAAATTTTGGGTACAGAACGAGAATCAAATTCACAGAATTCATAGCCAAAACAATTGCAGAGGAAGCGTGAAGCTACATGGTTCATAACAATTTCTTTTTGGAGTTCTCTTTACCTCAACTAGAAGCATAAAATAATATAGAGGGATCAAAAATAATTTTCCTCGATCTTTCTTCTTATAGAGAGGCATTTCTCTTGGATCTCACAATTCCTCCCTCAAATTTACAGTTAATATAAAATTAATCTCACCATTACCCAAGACATTGTATATCAGTTATATAATGTGCTTCAGAGGAAAACATAATTTTTAATACCTATGATCAATTTATTTAAAAGCTGACGATGGATGGGTATTACAAATCAAACAGCAAAAAAGTGAAATCGGAAAGTAAAGCAAGATAATGTCTTGAATCGTCATAAGGTACATCACATTAAAAAGCAATATTCTTTAAACTCTCAATAGAAATCACGTACAAAATTAAATGACCAAATAAATTAGAATAGAGACTAAGAAAAATTCCAGTTACAGCATTGACAGACAAATTCAACAAATCTTAAATAATAACCAGGGAAAAAAATTACTTACTTTGAAAGGACAGGAATTGCTGATGTTGCCAAAAACACCATGAAAAAGGAAAACATTAAGAAACAAAAATTAGCATTGTATAGGCTAAACAAATCCATTCAATTGTTCAATCACAAGATTTAAACAAAAACATATGGTAAGTAGAAGGTTAAACAAAATTATATACTAATCAATCTCAAAAGGTTAGCCAGATTCATTGGACATCATAAATTATATGAACAAACTTGTTAATAATTAAAACATACAGGTGAGAAAACATATATTTGACACATTTATATAACTACTGAAGAAAGTTGATTACAAACTTTCAAATTTTAGCCCTAATAATTTTTACTACGAGGCACAATTGACTACATGTATAGGATAATAAACAAAACCGGAGAAGAAATTGAAGATGCAGGACCTATTCATAATAATCAATGCAACACAAAAATCAATAACCAGTTCATGACAGATACTAATGAACACTATGGTGACACCCTTCCCAAGCCTACACAGTGACCAAGCTTCTTGCCTACTCAATCCTACCCAACCTATTATTATTGAAGTCTTTGGTTTCGATATCCACAGCTTTCCTCTTGTCAAAATGAAGAGGAAAGAACCCACAATCCCTTCAAAGTTGTGGATAATCCTGCCCAACCACCATACACAAAAATAGAAAGAACAAATCTTACCAACATGACTAAAACATTATATACTTTTGTGATTATTTGTTTCTCATAAAATATAAATATGCAGGTGATTTATGGTTTGGAGGTGAGATAACAGCAAAGTCATGTAAGTGCATACACATGAGCATGTGCGCATGTTTACGGTAATCACAAACGAGGAAAAGATGGTAAGAAGGAATAACTTGGAAAACATATAGAACAAAACTTTAAAAATCCTACCTACTCTACAGGCTGTGTTACAATAAAGTTCACCAAGGTCAATACATAATTGTACTTCTTTGCACAATTGCAATAATCAGTGATCAGAACGGTCCGAATTGTTAGAAGAAGGTTTGATCACAACATAGATGACAAATAAGTAAACATGTAACCTTGGCCAGTTTGGACCAAGGTCAATTGAACTGCTCAAATTAGTCCATACTCCATAGACCACGATAGTTTTCAAATAATGGAGTCTCTTCTCAATAATCTATCAACTTCTTTCCAATATTTCCCTCAATTCTTCTAGCAAGTTGATAAAATTATAATTTTATTACGTAAATCCACTCCTAACATCATGCAGAAACCATTCATTTTAGCAGATTTAAACATGGACCATTTATTATAATGTTCAAATGTGCTTTTGAAACACCAGGGAGCTTTTACAAACAACATCCATATGGAGTCACGTCACAGAAACAACAGAACAGTTATCTAATTCGACATGCTATAATTTCTTATAACAAGAACATGAAACTTCATTAGTAAGAACGTTTGAAATCACTGATATAGATCTTAAACAAATGATGTTATGATACTAATAAGAGCAACAGCAAACACCAACATAATATGCATGACAAAAGAAACTGATAAATGATTTCTTCAAGCTTCCATTTTAACATATTATTTATTCCTCTCACGCTTTCAGAAACTGAGTCATCAAATAGGGAATAGAGGTATTGATTCAATCCTTTTCATTTTGAAGAAACTGATACTATCTCCCCCCAATCCAGCCGTAAGGGCTGACATTGCATAAAATTGATTAAAGCAAAACAAAGCCCTTTGAAAAGTTCAATAATTACTGTGGTAAGTGCTTTCTCGTGCATCTCAATTCTGTTCTTCCAATTCCTTTGAAAATACACTCAGTTTCCACTACTTAGAAATGTATAAAAATAAATTGTGCAAGATATGGATTATTACATACCCATTAGATTGAATAAGCGAAATGGTGACAATTCGAATGTTGTCTTTGGAAGAGAAACAAATGCCCAGGAAAGAGCTCCCACCCACGGTTCTGATGGAATTAATCGCAACTTAACCCACAGTTCTCCATCAATGTCAAAGTCTCGCACACCCACTGGCACGACGATGGGAAGAATGCTGAATTTGAGTGACAGCATTAAAAGCATTCTTGCACCACCAGTGTAGCGGAGGCCTATCTGGTACCTTGGTAGCAGAAAAAAAATATCACCATTAAGTTAAAAGCAACTCTGAAGTCAAGACAAACTATTTATTTTGAATTATGAGACAGTGAATATCAACCATGTAAATCTCATGAATATATGGCAGTGAGAAATGGTACATTGAATAATACAACAAAGTAGAAGTGATGTAGAATCAATTGAGAAGAAGAAGCTGAATAACATAGTCACAGCAAGGAGAAGAAGAGAGGATTAAGAGAGGGAGCACGTTAGAGGAGAAAGAGGGAGAAGAGGGAAGACAAGGGTGAGAGAGTAGGCAACAAGCCAAACATGATTAACTTCATTCATCAACTAATAACATAGTCCAACATAAAATAAAAGGAAAAATAGGGTGATGTCCTCATCAAGAAGCAACCAAAATCTGTATTGAAAAGATATGAATTATTTGTTTAGCATGATTTGGGATTAAAAAGGAACTGCTTGGACATAACTACACTTGACACTTTAGGATTCAAATTCCAAATCTGGACAGCTATCAATATATCAATTTCCTATATCCAAATCTTACTTTCTCTGTTATCTGGACCTTTGTTGCTGTTTCTTGGTTTTAACTTGTACTATATTTGAACCTTGTCTTTACAGGTATAGTTAAAAAAGCTTTTAACATCTTACGACTTGTTAGCTCACTAGTTCATTCTAATCCAAGCTTCACTGCTAGTTCATTCTAATCCAAGCTTCACTGTACTTTTGGAGTTTGTTTTAGAAGTACATCATCACGATTCTCACAAAAATATTGAAGCCATAAATATTTGCCACTCGTGAAGATCTCAACTTTCGGCAATTCAAAATTGACAGGTTAAATTCACATCTATAATAACACATGACAGCTGATAAACATGCTTGAAGATTATGCTAGCAGAAGAAAATTTTCAAGCATCGCCAAAAATTATCTACAAAAATGTTTCAGTTTATTTTGCACTCTAGAATTTTGTCTACTGGATAACCTTTGCAAAATTCAATCCCAAGTGCAATCTATAATTGGCATGATCCAATTATGAAGGAAGGGAAAACGTATGTTTAGCTGAAATTTTTTTCCAAGCAACGTTGCAATAGAAAAGACTCACTGTAAATCGTTGATCCGCCTAGAAGTTCGACGCTCAACGCTCCTGACAGACAAGGGCTCATCCCCAAGAGAAAACTGCTTAATCTCCACCCTCTGCACATAATCTGGCTTCTTGAGATCGTCAATGACTGGCTGCAGCAAGCCAATGATCCAATTCTCAATTCCAGCTCTGTAGACCTTCCATAGCTTCCCCAGCACCATGTTCACCCACTCTACAGACTCTTTCCTCTGCAAATCCTTCTCAAGAAACATGGACAGGTTGGCAGGCACCTGTGGCCAACTCCCAGGCTTACTGGTTATATTCGTGTTCCTCTTCCGAGAGGTCCATAGCTTGTCGAAAACAACCCCTATGAAAAAGAAGAAAGCAAAAAGGCCAACAATGTTGCGGTTTATCTGAGGAGGAGTTGGGATTGGATGTATCACCCCCAGCTGAGTTCTCAGCTTATCTACAATGGGGTCTTCTGCAAAACTGGAACTGTAATAATTACCATTTGTATTACTACCACTACTACCTGTAGCTTCATTGGATGAACTGTCATCGAATTCATCACCGGAAAATCGCTTCAAGACTATGTTTTTAGCTCCCCGTCTGGTAGCCAAGTTATTGGGATCTATTTTGAAGTGGGATTGGGTATTCCCACCATTGATGCAAGCTTGAACCTGGAGGATTGCCCATCTCACATTTTTTATTATCCTTTTTTTCGGGGTTATGATGTTTCTGCGTCGATAATGGTCATGATAGCAGCTATTATTATCACTACAGGAGAAGAAGCTGCAAGGGGGACGGAGAGATGTTGAAGAAAAAGCCAACAGCTTTTTCTGGGAAAAATCACAGCAAAGGGGTGTAGTATTTGAATTCGATTGCAAAATCATTAAATTACAAGAACCCAATAAGCAAAACACCAATGGGACGAAGAATCGAGTTCACTTCCGCCGCCCTTACACAGATAAAAACATAATCGATTCGAAAACATGAATTCGAACAACTACGAGCTAGGTATTTTCAGTTCACGGACAAAAACTATGAGAAATCTCAATTCAGGAAGACAGAAATTCAATTAAACGAAGACATAGCCCACAGCTGAGCTAAATGTTGATTGTAGTTCACGAATTTTGATTGCGGGAGTAATAAAAAGTTTTGGATTTACGTATAATATTATTTTATTGAAGAATGTATATTTAAAAATGAAGAATAAAAAAATGCATTCAATTAAAATGAAGCCCAAACAGGGGCTAAATTTATGATACAAAGCAATCCATGATAGGTATAAAAAAGTGCCCAAAATTTGCCGGGGCAACAATTTCTCTGCCTAAATTCATTAATCTATTAAGGAAAAAGCAGTGGATAGTTCTTCTCTGTTTCTCCATTTTCCTTTCCAGTTATATGGGGAGTTTAATTAGAAGGAATTAGCACTCAACTCGTGCCACTCTTCAAGATAATCAAGCTGCAATCTTGCCTATCCTGCCATGGAACATAGATAAGTCAGCAACCAATGGGATTAGAACCGGAAGCCCCATTCCAAGTAGATAATATAATTAAATAGAGCACAGTTCAAACAAAATATCCAGCCGATGCTTCTCTTAATGACTACCCACTTTTGATTGAACTGGACTCAACCCTTTAATGGTCAGCTTTATACCTATTACTGCAGAAATGATGGATCAAGAAATTCTTCATTTAATGAGGAAACCCAAAAGCCAATAAGAACCGAAAGACATCTATCGAAGTGTGGGAGGGCTGACTAGCCTTTGAAGAACCTTCAACAACCAAGTATGGGATATTCACATTGGCAGGAGAGTGAAGATGAGCATTATTATCAGTTAAATCTCAAGTCACATGGTACTTGATTCTAAAAAGAATGCTTCAAGCACATACAGAGTTAAAATTTCACAATAGTGCATCATTTATGGGCCAAGACAGGCTATTCTTAGATATGGGTTGCTAGATTTTATACAGGATGTTCACTAATGTACAATGTAAGATTCCAATAAACAATTGATATATTACGTAATTCAAGTTATGGCGTATGCTATTTTCAAAATTATTATCCATCCGACAAGAGGTGTTTACAAATGGGATTGGGTCTGAGTAAGGCTACGGTAGTTACTTGACTGGATCGATAGTAAGTATATACATGTTCTTCCTACCTTGCTTTTCCCCAAGAAACCTCGTATAAATATATATAGGTTTTCTTCACCTCCTCATCTAGGGGGAGCTTCTCTGAGAGGTCCCCTCGTGGTAAGCTTGCCTACAACATAAATTTATGCTTCGTTACCAATAAATTTGAGACCAGCAAAATGAATCCTTTCTCGTCCCTCCATTCATTTCTACTCAATGATCTCAACAACAAAATACTTGGAAACTTCAACTTATCGCATTAGTTTTAGTCTCCCTTTTCCTCTTCTAGTCCGCATATAAACATTCTTAGCCTCAGTTCAGAAAATTAAGAGAACTGGAATCACGGTCAACTGACAGACCTTCAAACTTAACCACCAGTATAATGTAAAAGATGAAATGCTGGCTAAAGCTCGACGCTTCAAATGTTGTTCTTCCAAAAGGAAAAGAAAAAAACCCCAAATGGAGTGGCAACCCATCCTCACACGTTGAGAATAGAGATATTGGTGATAATCTTAATGGAATTGCACAGTTGAGGGTCAAGCCTGGGGAGGCCTTTTAGAATACCCTTCAACATGTAGAATTGTGTTCCTATTATAGCATGAGACACTTGGTTCAGCTATGCATGTAAATCATTTTCATTAATAGAAACTTACCTCACAAAGAATAATGAGAGAAGAAAACAATTTAAAAATAATTTCCACTGCATGCATTTGGATAAAAGAGAAGCACCCAAGAGAAATATCAGGGTTCAATAATTTACTGAAGTAGAACGTAATGGCACCTCTTTAGCAATTTCACATGACCTATATCACATCAAGGATTGAATAAACCAGAGCCTCCCATGTTCATAGCTATAAGGAATGAGATACTTGTAATCACAGCAAGCCAAAATAAGGCCGACCCTGCATTAGACGTATCCTTGGTGACACACTGAATAAAGAAGAAAAATCTGAAAGACTAAAATTAGATAAAATTACATAGTATACGATTGATTATTCACAAAAATACCTCTAGAACTACCAGAATTACTTTTTGAAACTTCCTGGCCGGATCCAGAAGTCAATTTCGGTGCTGTTTCAGTATTAGCGCCTGCATCTGGAGACTTGGTATTCACTGTTTCTGATGTCACTATCCCTCGGAATTCTTCACTTACAATTAAAGCTGCTAGAACATCCATGAAAGATTCTGCATCTGTTCCAATCGAGTAATCCTTCCCACTCTGCTCAGATGTTGAAGCATCTGATTCATCAGAAAACTCATCATCTGAAGCATCCGTATCCACAGTTCTTTTTTCAGTTCTTTCATCCTCTTCGTCCTCCACATATGCTTTATATGTCAACCGCAGTAGGATTTCTCCAGCAGTACCTTTTCCAAACAGGGTCCACCCTCCTCGTAGTACCACAATCCTGTCTGTTGGAACAGTATCTTTCAGAGATCCAAGGTCAACCTGAAAACAGTACTTTAATCAGGTGGTGGTATTTTTAAGAGTCATAATATCCTTTTTTGTAGGTTCTTAACAAGTTCAGTTGCATAATGCGCATATAGTCAAATGAAAAATAATGTGGTCGAACCACAATCTGGAGACCTGAATAAACCTTTAACAGCTAGTATATTTGAAAGAAAACTACATTCCTTGAACACTCCAAAAGAAAGAAGCGATGCAAACTCAATAACAGAAAAGAAAACCACGACAAGTGACATCACATTATTTGTTGAAATACCATTTCAAGAATAAATATATATTCCAAGTAAAAATGGAAACCTGTTTTCCCTTTCTTGATTGCTAAGTCGTAAGAAAATTTCCCGGAAATGACATTTTGACTTGCTAAAGTGTTTTAAAGATAAAACACCAAACAATTTTGTTTCACAGTGCTGAGATCACAGAAATTGGAGGAATATTTTCAACAAATTATTTGATGAAGGCATAGTGAAGACGAATTCTGTTTTTCGGAGTGATGGAGGCTATGAAGTGGATAAAGATGAGAAATGCAATTCCAACCAAAGAATTGGAGTGTTTGGGTGAGGTGGATACTATGAAGTGGATGAAATTGTTTAATGTCTAATGATATCTGAGAGTCTAAAAGATGCGGGAAAGCCTATGATGGGTTGGGTCAGGGATATGCTACAGTTAGATAGACATAATTACTACTAAATATAACAATATTGTTAAGGATGTGTTTGATGAAGCAGCCATGAGCGTAAAATGTGGTGGCGATAATACTAGAGAGTTCCCTTTAAATATAGGTTCTCATACAGGTGCTTTCAGGTCCTTGTCTTTTTGGTTTAGTCGTAAGTCTCTCTCTCTCTCTTTGCATTTCATCTAACCTTAAATATTGAAGACATACTTTAGGACCTCTCTCCAGACCACATTTCTCTGTTAACACCAATTTTACCTAAATATTTGGGCCAATACAAAAGGTAAGATATTAATTTTGGAACAGTGGGATAAATTTAAATATCAACAAGTTACAATCTGCATACGTTATATAACAGAAACAACAGAACTGTTAGGAAGGATCACATAGTATGATCTTCATATAAGCCCATAAAAGATGAGGGGTATCATCTGCCAATTTAAGATATCTTACCTCACCGGTACCGACAGTCAAATCTGCAAATCCAAGAGAATCCTTTACTTCAATGTATAATTTTTCTTTCCTAGGGTTGGCAACTAACATGTGAAAATCCTGTGAAGAAGGAAAATTGCATTATAGTTGGCAGCACGTGCATGATTTCTGACAAAAATATATTAAACAAACAGTTTTGTATTAGTACTGTAGACTTGGCAGATGGTTGGAGAAGAAGAGCTCACCTGATTCCAGATTGGCTCACCAGGAGGCCCGATGACAGTAGTTTGGCTGTTCCTTTTACTACGTATTACTTGATCTCCCAATCTTAGAACAACATAAGGATCTGTTTTGCCTGAATATGGAACGACAGCAATTGTCATATTGACATACAGAATTTTATTATTATTCTCCTGTTTGGGCTCCATTTATAGGGGAAAGTGTGTTTTGCAATAGTTATTTTTTGGAGAGTGTGTGGTTTAAAAATAAAAAAAAAAAGGTTTTGGGTTTACATGTTAAATTATTTTATGGGAGAATGTGTGATTGAAAAGGAAGAAGATTTAAGAGAATCAGCAAGCAGCACTTGCAGACAAGTTAATTCCAACTTATGCAAAGAACAGAGGAATGTTCTACTCAAAGTGATGTTCAAATATGATATTTAGAAGCCACAATTTAGAGGAAAAAAATTCATACCATAGAAAATATAAGTGAGTTTCCTTGCATCTAGAAGAGTCACTGACAATTCTCCAGCAAAGTCGGTATTTCCCTCTTGAATTTCTCCAGATCTCAAATCAGTTGGAATAGGTCCAACAGCTTTTCCCTTCTGAAAATCTAGAACAATCTTGTTTGGGCGCACAAATAACCGAGGTAAATCCTCAGTAAGAAGTTTCGTCAAGAACCTGGAAAGCTAAAATTATTTAGTTCAGATTAAGGGAGTTAAATTTGAAATTAATAACAAACTGAAATGGTAATAAGTAAGGAAGCATTACAAGTAAAACGAAAAAGCCTGCACTACAGAAACTCTGAACTGCTGACAGAAAATACAGAAAATCAAAGTATAAGGGATTCATTTTTCTGGAGTTATATAGCAGCAAGTTCATATAAGTTTACAGTTTCATCCTAAAAGATACGATAATTATAAGTGCCATCAAAACATAATTCAGAAAATTGATGTGATCGTGCACACAGGTAAGTTTACAGAACGAGAATCAAATTCACAGAATTCATAGCCAAATAAATTGCAGAGCAAGCGCGAAGCTACATGGTTCACAACAATTTTTGTTTGGAGTTCCCTTTACCTCAATTAGAAGCATAACATAATATAGAGGGATCGAAAATAATTTTCCTCGATCTTTCTTCTTATAGAGAGGCATTTCTCTTGGATCTCACAATTTGTCCCTCAAATTTACAGTTAATAAAAAATTAATCTCACCATTACCCAAGACATTGTATATCAGTTATATAATGTGCTTCAGAGGAAAACATAATTTTTAACACCTATGATCAATTTATTTAAAAGCTGACGATGGATGGGTATTTACAAATCAAACAGCAAAAAAGTAAAATCAGAAAGTAAAGCAAGATAATGTCTTGAATCCTCATAAGGTACATCACATTAAAAAGCAATATTCTTTAAACGCTCAATAGAAATCATGACGAATATACAAAATTAAATGACCAAATAAATTAGAATAGAGACTAAGAAAAATTCCAGTTACAGCACTGACAGACAAATTCAACAAATCTTAAATAATAGCCAGGAAAAAAAATTACTTACTTTGACAGGACAGGAATTGCTGATGTTGCCCAAAAACACCATGAAAAAGGAAAACATTAAGAAACAAACATTAGCATTGTATAGGCTAAACAAATCCATTCAATTGGTCAATCACAAGATTTAAACAAAAACATATGGTAAGTAGAAGGTTAAACAAAATTATATACTCATCAATCTCAAAAGGTTAGCCAGATTCATTAGACATCATAAATTATATGAAAAAACTTGTTAATATTAAAACATACAGGTGAGAAAACATATATTTGACACATTTATATAACTACTGAAGAAAGTTGACTAAAAACTTTCAAATGTTAACCCTAATAATTTTTACTACGAGGCAGAATCGACTAGATGTATACGGTACTTAATAAACAAAACCGGAGAAGAAATTGAAGATGCAGGAGCTATTCATAATAATCAATGCAACACAAAAATCAATAACCAGTTCACGACAGATACTGATGAACACTATGGTGACATCCTTCCCAAGCCTACACAGTGACCAAGCTTCTTGCCGACTCAATCCTCCCCGACCTATTATTGTTGAAGTCTTTGGTTTCGATATCCACAGCTTTCCTCTTGTCAAAATGAAGAGGAAAGAACCCACAATCCCTTCAAAGTTGTGGATAATCCTGCCCAACCACCATACACAAAAATAGGAAGAACAAATCTTACCAACATGACTAAAACATTATATACTTTTGTGATTATTTGTCTCTCATAATATATATATATATATACATACATACATACATACATACATACATACATATATATATACATATATATATATATCGAACTAAGGCTCATTCCATTAGAAATTTATCCTAAAGCTTGAAAGCAATGCGGATTAGCACAGAAAGCCTGGCAGGAACTATTTTATTTGAAGAATTGAACAAAACTAAAATTTCTGTAAATCATTAGAACGGGACTTTCTTTAAAGAAAAATGGTCTCTCAGGCTGGTTCAAAAGGGAGACAATTCAAATGCCAGCGCATAAATCGAAAGAGTCGTGCTTTAAAGTGGAATTCTTCTAAGATCCATTGCTCGATAGGTGAATTATGGTTTGGAGGTGAGATAGTAGCAAAGTCATGTACTAAGTGCATACACATGAGCATGTGCGCGTGTTTACAGTAATCACAAACGAGGAAAAGATGGAAAGAAGGAATAACTTGGAAAACATATAGAACAAAACTTTAAAAATCCTACCTACTCTACAGGCTATGTTAAAATAAAGTTCACCAAGGTCAATACATAATTGTACTTGTTTGCACAATTGCAATAATCAGTGATTAGAACGGTCCGAATTGTTAGAAGAAGGTTTGATCAAAACATAGCTGACAAACAAGTAAACATGTAACCTTGGCCAGTTTGGACCAAGGTCAATTGAACTGCTCAAATTAGTCCACACTCCATAGACCACACTAGTTTTCAAATAATGGAGTCTCTTCTCAGTAATCTATCAACTTCTTTCTAATATTTCCCTCAATTCTTCTAGCAAGTCGATAAAATTATAATTTTTTACATAAAGCCACTCCTAACATCATCCAGAAACCATTCATTTTAGCAGATTTAAGCATGGACCATTTATTATAATGTTCAAATGCGCTTTTGAATCACCTTGGAGCTTTTACAAACAACATCCATAGAGAGTCACGTCACAGAAACAACAGAACAGTTATCTAATTCTACATGCTATAATTTCTTATACCAAGAACATGAAACTTCATTAGTAAGAATGTTCGAAATCACTGATATAGAGCTTAAACAAATGATGTTATGATACTAATAACAGGGCAACAGCAAACACCAACATAATATGCATGACAAAAGAAACTGATAAATGATTTCTTCAGGCTACCATTTTAACATATTATTTATTCCTCTCGCGCTTTCAGAAACTGAGTCATTAAATAGGGAATAGAGATATTGATTCAATCCTTTTCATTTTGAAGAAACTGATACTATCTCCCCCCCAGTCCAGCCATAAGGGCTGACATTGCATGGAATTGATTAAAGCAAAACAAAACCCTTTGACAAGTTCAATAATTACTGTGGTAAGTGCTTTCTCGTGCACCTCAATTCTGCTCTTCCAATTCTTTTGTAAATACACTCAGTTTCCATTACTTAGAAATGTATAAAAATAAATCGTGCAGGACATGGAAATTATTACATACCCATTAGATTGAATAAGCGAAATGGTGACAATTCGAATGTTGTCTTTGGAAGAGAAACAAATGCCCAGGAAAGAGCTCCCACCCACGGTTCTGATGGAATTAATCGTAACTTGACCCACAGTTCTCCATCAATGTCAAAGTCTCGCACACCCACTGGCACGACGATGGGAAGAATGCTGAATTTGAGTGACAGCATTAAAAGCATTCTTGCACCACCAGTGTAGCGGAGGCCTATCTGGTACCTTGGTAGCAGAAAAAATATCACAATTAAGTTAAAAGCAACTCTGAAGTCAAGACAAACTATTTATTATGACACAGTGAATATCAACCATGTAAATCTCGTGAATATATGGCAGTGAGAAATGGTACATTGAATAATACAACAAAGTAGAAGTGATGTAGAATCAATTGAGAAGAAGAAGCTGAATAACATAATCACAGCAAGACAGAGAAGAAGAGAGGAATAAGAGAGAGAGCACGTTAGAGGAGAAAGAGGGAGAAGAGGGAAGACAAGGGTGAGAGAGTAGGCAACAAGCCAAACATGATTAACTTCGTTCATCAACTAATAACAGTCTAAAATAAAATAAAAGGAAAAACAGGGTGATGTCCTGATCAAGAAGCAACCAAAATCTGTATTGAAAAGATATGAATTATTTGTTTAGCATGATTTGGGATTAAAAAGCAACTGCTTGGACATAACTACACTTGACACTTTAGGATTCTAATTCCAAATCTGGACAGCTATCAATATATCAATTTCCTATATCCAAATCTTACTTTCTCTGTTATCTGGACCTCTGTTGCTGTTTCTTGTTGTTAACTTGTACTATATTTGAACCTTGTCTTTACAGGTATAGTTAAAAAAGCTTTTAACATCTTACGACTTGTTAGCTCACTAGTTCATTCTAACTCAAGCTTCACTGTACTTTGGAGTTTGTTTTAGAAGTACATCATCACGATTCTTACAAAAATATTGAAGCCATAAATATTTGACACTCGTGAAGATCTCAACTTTCGGCAATTCAAAATTGACAGGTTAGATTCACATCTATAATAACACATGACAGCTGATAAACATGCTTGAAGATTATGCTAGCAGAAGCAAATTTTCAAGCATCGCCAAAAATTATCTACAAAAATGTTTCCATTTATTTTGCACTCTAGAATTTTGTCTACTGGATAAACTTTGCAAAATTCAATCCCAAGTGCAATCTATATTGGCAAGATCCTATTATGAAGGCAAGAAAAACCGTATGTTTAGCTGAAGATGTTCTGAGCAACGTTGCAATAGAAAAGACTCACTGTAAATCGTTGATCCGCCTAGAAGTTCGACGCTCAACACTCCTGACGGACAAGGGCTCATCCCCAAGAGAAAACTGCTTAATCTCCACCCTCTGCACATAATCTGGCTTCTTGAGATCGTCAATGACTGGCTGCAGCAAGCCAATGATCCAATTCTCAATTCCAGCTCTGTAGACCTTCCATAGCTTCCCCAGCACCATGTTCACCCACTCTACAGACTCTTTCCTCTGCAAATCCTTCTCAAGAAACATGGACAGGTTGGCAGGCACCTGTGGCCAACTCCCAGGCTTACTGGTTATATTCGTGTTCCTCTTCCGAGAGGTCCATAGCTTGTCGAAAACAACCCCTATGAAAAAGAAGAAAGCAAAAAGGCCAACAATGTTGCGGTTTATCTGAGGAGGAGTTGGGATTGGATGTATCACCCCCAGCTGAGTTCTCAGCTTATCTACAATGGGGTCTTCTGCAAAACTGGAACTGTAATAATTACCATTTGTATTACTACCACTACTACCTGTAGCTTCATTGGATGAACTGTCATCGAATTCATCACCGGAAAATCGCTTCAAGACTATGTTTTTTGCTCCCCGTCTGGTAGCCAAGTTATTGGGATCTATTTTGAAGTGGGATTGGGTATTCCCACCATTGATGCAAGCTTGAACCTGGAGGATTGCCCATCTCACATTTTTTATTATCCTTTTTTTCGGGATTATGATGTTTCTGCGTCGATAATGGTCATGATAGCAGCTATTATTATCACTACAGGAGAAGAAGCTGCAAGGGGGACGGAGAGATGTTGAAGAAAAAGCCAACAGCTTTTTCTGGGAAAAATCACAGCAAAGGGGTGTAGTATTTGAATTCGATTGCAAAATCATTAAATTACAAGAACCCAATAAGCAAAACACCAATGGGACGAAGAATCGAGTTCACTTCCGCCGCCCTTACACAGATAAAAACATAATCGATTCGAAAACATGAATTCGAACAACTACGAGCTAGGTATTTTCAGTTCACGGACAAAAACTATGAGAAATCTCAATTCAGGAAGACAGAAATTCAATTAAACGAAGACATAGCCCACAGCTGAGCTAAATGTTGATTGTAGTTCACGAATTTTGATTGCGGGAGGATCAAATTGCAAAAGGAGAGGGTTTTGGGGCCTCAAAAAATTAGGGAATAATTTTAACGTAAAAGGATCATCACATGTGCAAACGACGCGGATAAATTTATATTTATAGAAAATTTGCCAGAAAAACTTTTTGTAGTCTTTGTTTTTCGATTGAATAGTTAATGGAAGAAAAGAAAAAAGAAACGTGGTCCATGTGGGTCGGAGCCGGCCATTGTCAATTTTGCTCCACCTCCACTACGCTCTTTTTTCTTGATTAGATTCAACGCGGCACTATGAATAAATTGGCTTTGTTTGGGATAGCCTAAAATAATGAAATCAAAGTTAATAATTAATTTTAATTATATATATATATATCGTGAATTCATAATTTCTTTCAATTTTTTCAACGATATATTCCTTCTTTTTATAAAATATCTTAAAACTTTTCTTGAAAACTTTATCAAATAACCCTTGAATTTGATGCAACGTTTAGCTCGGTTTAAAGTAAATTTACCAATGACATCGAAAATGAAAAACTGCTACTTTTAATTATAGAAAAATTGAAGTTGAGATAATCCACGTATTAAGCTAATTAAAAGAATAGTTGAGTTGATCACTCATAGGTGCATATTATGCACTTTTGACTTCTATTTTTAATTAGTTATTGTTAAATTGAGTGAACATCTAACTAATTTTGTGTAAATATAATTAATTATATGTAAAACCCCAAATTTGGATGGATTTGACATGAAAGAGGTAAAAATGATACTTAGATTCTGTTGGAGTCGATTTTTTAGGTTGGAAAAATTCATTTTTTGACCGTTATCTTCCTAGGTGGGTTCCGACTGTGAGAATCAAAGTCAACATAAACAGTTGAAACAAGTGACCAACGGTACAAAAATTCATTTCCCCCCTTCAAATCGACTCCAAAACAAGGGCTTAATTGAATTGATTTGGAACAATTGTTCAAACACATTGCATTCGATCAATTTAACGCACTAATGCAACACTTGAAGGTGATTTACAAGTATTGGGAGTCAAATTCTAAAAAAATCTGGAAACTAAATTGCAAATTTTCAGATGGACTAAATTCGAATGATTTTTAAGTCTCGAGAATCAATCTTGAGGATGTCGAAAATTTCAGCATCAAATTAAAGTTTAGGATAAAAAAGTCAAAGTTGGACTAAAATTTGAATAAAGTGCCAAGGTTGCACGAAAAAATGAAGTCTTGTGATCGCAAAGTTTTTAATCATTTTATGGCAAGGATTTGTACTATGCAATAGCATGATTATATAGTACAGAAATTACTTTCTTCCCTTTTTGATTAACCTCTATTTTGAAATCAATTAGGCACTGAATTTGGATCTAATTCTTAGCCATAGAAAAACATACCTTCATCAAACAATTAGATAAGGCTTTTGAGGTTCCAATTACACATTATTCAAGCTAATGGAAACTCTTAGGGTTACGATTCCATAATTCTCACAAAGAGGAGAGTTAAAGAGGAAGATTTGGATAATCAAATTCGTAATTCTTTTAAACATTTATAGGAACTTGTTACAAAACATAATTTTCATACACCGATTTTTTGGACCGAAGAAGAAAGAATCGAAGGAGTTTGATCAATCATCCATTGAAGTGATTCAATACTTTGATTTTTTCCAACATCTTTCCTTCATTCTAGACGATGTCATATAAATTATTTTTGTGTTCTTGTAATTTGCCCACTTTTTACCCCCATTATTTCAATTTACAATTTGTGGAATTGTATTTTTTGAAAAATGTGTGTTTGAAAAAGCGGTTTCTGTTTACGATCAACCTGTCAAATTAGAGCCTATTTTATGGAAGATTGTGTGGTTGAAAATAAGATAAATAAAATTATAAATTGAAATAATTGGGACAAATGATTTGATGATTAACTAAATGAATAGATATTAGTGATATTGGATAGTATGGATAGCCGCCTACGATGACAAGCAAAGTGAGCGCTCCACCTCTACGTTAGAGTCGACCCCTACGGGCGATCTATCTCTACGCTAGACCGTCGACCCCTATGGGCGCTCTACCTCTACGCTAAACAGTCGACTCCTATGAGTGCTCTACATCTACGCCAGATCGTCGGCCAACATGAGATTACCTACGTTGCCAATCCAACACTTAAGGCATAAAATCATTAATGAATTGATAAAAATCACGTAAGAGCTATCACGGATACAACCAATCGACGGGAAGTGGAAAATCGCCCACTCATAACGTGGAGATAGTGAAAAAGGCTATGTGGGACATGTGGCACCGTAACCGTCCAACACTCAACTAGCTTCAGGCATCTATAAATACCCATAAGGCGAAACATGTATCTCTGAAAAAAAAAAACCTTGAGTATTCAATTTGCATATCTGTTTCTCCTAACACCATCTACTGATTCTCACATCGGTGATAAAAATGGGGAAGAAAGCCCGAACTTCATTTTTTCAGGTAACATTCGCTTAACGGAGTAGTAGGAATGCTTCGCGCCACAAGGTAGATACGGAGGTACTACTTCATCACTATTTCAATTAGGATAATGTTAAACCATACTTTTGAAGTTTTGGTATTTAATTTTGAATTTTGACACTCAACACGTGTTTGGTTATTCAATGATTGGTAGGAATATTGACACATTGTAACAATCATTGTAAAATTCGATAGGGAATAGGGACATATCGTCATGCTTTGCATGGTCATTTTGATGTTCTTGTAATTTAATATATATTTTTATGCCCGCATCTTTCATAAAGATGTAGAAAATGTTAATTACATGAGAGAATATATTTAGTTATACTTGAGAGAAATTATTACAGGAATTAGGAAAGCTAGTCTTTATATTTGAATAGATGTTGTCTCGATTTTGAATTGATATTGAAATGGATGAATGTATAGAATTCGAAAGCCTAGTGTTTATCAATTACTTGAGTTTCGTAAAAGCTTTCACATTAGTTAATTTAGTTATAAATATTAGATTGTTAAGGCCACAAAATTTGCTATTCAATTAAAAGTTAGCGTCAGTTAGAAATTAGATTAAGTATTTATTCGTCATAAAGAAATATCTTACTCATTTTTTATTACTTGACTATGACATTATACACTCGCGAAATTTTAGCTAACACTAACTTTAATAATGTGACATAAATGTGCAGTTATTTTAGATACTATGCAAGTCTTCTGTTTTTTGCTGATACAATAAGAATGCCTTTATTAAAAGTTCAAATTAGTGTTGACTTTTTCGTTTCAAAGTACCAAAATGAAAAAGTAAATTGTAGGGGATTCCTCTTTCTTTTGGAGTTTAGGTGTGATGCTTCCCTTTGTACACAAATCTTTAGATCAATTTATAACGATAGAGGATAAAGCCAAATTAATCTGGGGACTGCCAGTGGATGACTTTGGAGTCCGAATTGGACTCGAACTCCACCAATTACATGGGTTTTTCTTATGCATCTTTTATGCTTGACTTTTAGGACCTAAATAGGATTTTTTTTTTTTTTTAATGTTATCTAATACTAGTTTAAACATCAGTTTAAGCGTCAGTATATCATAGGTCCTGTTAAATAGATCATAATTTATTGTATTTAATTAAACCTATAATTTAGTGTCATTCATGTTGCCTAATGTTGTCACCTAAACTTGTGTTACACAGCAATGATGTTAAATAGCATTACATTTTTTTTTTCATTCAATATTAGAGTTTGCATTTCAAAGATTCTTGGGGATTAAATTTGAGAGAAAAATGTAAAGCAATAAGCTGTGTTTTGAGGAATTCATTGAAGAAGGATATTTCAATCTTATTGCGAGTGTGTTATTCAAGTTCTTTTCCGTTTCTTTGAAAATTCGGAGATTTACTTACTATTTTAATTTGTATTATTCTTGTTTTTGCTAAATTCGTAGTTAGGATGAACGATGTAAGTTTAAGCCAAACCCTTGATTTTAATTATAGAAGATATTGTTTCTAATTATTGATATGTATCGTTTTTGTTGTTGTACTTGATTCAATTAATTTTTTATCCAATAATTAATTGATTTGTGAGCAATAACAGTTCAAGGGATGAGTTTTTTTGTTTAAACCAAATATTAGAAATTGATAATTTAGATAGAAGATAGAGAATAAACTTTTATACTTGTTGTTTATCATTACATGGACTTTCTGGTGGATTAATAAACTCAATTAGGTTAATGTTGTTGGGAATCTACTTATACATGCACAGCGGAATTTAAAATAATTTTCGATTCCCACCAAGAATCGCCTTTGTGTTTAGATAGAAATTGTGATAAGGATTATACCTTTGAAGAATTCTGCAATCCTTTTGCTTTTCTTTTCGTTCCATCAACCTTGATTCGTCACCACAGCTGTCCAATTGTCCTGTCTCCAACGGTGATCCACACAGAGAATAAGATTGCAGCTTCTAGGATTTTCTCTTGTGCCAGCAAGAATAATGAAAACCATATGGACCTCAAACCCTAGCTATGTATTTATATAAACCCAAACGGGTTCGGTCCGGTCCGGTCCAATATTTAATTAATCCAATTAATTAAACCCGGTCCGTGAATTAATTAATCCAATTAATTAATTCGGGAATATAAATAATAAATTCAATTAATTAATTTATCCAACAGTTGTTAAATTAACCAATTGGCAATTTGCAATCTTCCAATTTTCTTTTGTGTGCGACCCATTAGGTTCTCGACCACGATGCCTAACGACGTGAAATATTATTTTGATCTAATCAAAATTGATAAATTAAAACACCCTTTTAATTTATCGTCAATTCACACTCGCCGTCTCTGATTGACATCTAGCAATGTGTCAGGGCAATACATGTGACGAGAAATGTCACGTGGTATGAGAAAACCAAATTCGTTCGTTTACTGTGAAACTATAATCCCTTCGTCAATATGATCCGATCAATTACGAGATATGGAATTGTGTCAATCTCGATCATCGATCATAT